ATTCCTAATCCAAATTATAAGGGTATTTGGACACCAAGGAAAATTCCAAACCCTCACTATTTTGAAGAAAAGAATCCATTCAAGAGCTTAGCTGAAGTGGTAGGTGATGCACTTAATTTAAGTTGTACTGTATGATGATTGTTGAATATATTTTTTTTATGTCATTCGACGTTGTGAAACCTGTTCTTTTTTTAATGATTTGATTTTGCAACAATATTATGGGTCATTCGTTGTATTATTTTTACATCGACCTTATTATTATTACCATGTAAACTCATTTGATATCTAGTGTCGATGAGAACAATGGTTTGTAAAGTAGTAGATGATTGTATCGGTTTAGAATTTTTTCTACACAGACTGGAGAACGAATAGGTTGGTTTTGTTTATTCTTTTTGAATTGTACTTCTCAGGTTTGGACTTCTATAGCACTATATATTGTTTCCGATCTTGTGTTTCTCATGTCAGTTTTCTCTTAGTGTGCTAATTTAAAGTGTCACAACTTAGGTCGGTACACATTCATGCTATCTCCTACCTTGACAATGACTAGATGGATCCTGAAAACTTCATAACAAAGTCTTATATAAGGTTTTTATACTTCCTACGAACTCTGCAACTCATCTCGTAAAGTATTTTTCTAGTTTGATGTGATAGTACCAGTGTACCATCGAAATATACTGAAATCATTTTCTTCAAATTCCGCTGCTTACCCTAAAAACGATTTCACCTGATTTGACAATGTTATCCATGGTTGGTTCCTAGTTTCCTTTTTCTTATTTTCGTGAGATTTATAACTGCAAATACAAAATCAAATACTCACGAGTGCATAACATCCACTCTTACAACTTCATAATTCTTTTCTCAATGTTAGCTGTCCATAGAGTTTGGTTATCCATTGTCACACTAATCAATACATTATTGGTTCGACAACTGTAAAGATGGTTTTGCTTTTGTATAAACCTGTAAATTACCTGTTCATTAGGTGATGTGGAATCTATTTTTTTCATTCTTGATGTGTTAACCTTTCTGTAGTAGTAACAGTGTTGAAAACCCGGTATCTACATAACATCCATGTTTATTATCGAATTTTTGTGTAATAAATATTTTTGTTGCTTAGTTTTACAGTCAGTTTGATATGTCTCTATGAATGATACCGTTGTTCTCATCTTTACATTTTATGGACTTGTTTGTGATACTGGTGACTATATTGTTCCATATTATCGAGTAGTATATTGCTGGATGTCTTTTTGAAATTGCAATCTAGCAACATACAGCTTTTACTGGAGTCGGTCATGTGAAATCAACAACTTGTATCTCTCTCATCCCACTTTTCCAGACCTTGTTGGCAATTCGATCCTCACAGTTTTCCTGTGACCACTTTCTTGTTTTCATTTTTTTTAGCAACGCTATAGCTTGTAAAGTATTGTTGCTAAGTTGTTTGTTGTATGTACGTTCGTATTTGACTATTTTGCATGTTAAATTAACAAATAATCTACGTTTATTGTGGTCCAAAATTTATTTATATTCATAATTCAATTACCTTAACTTTATTCCTAGAACGCAATAGGTCTAGAATTATGGTCCATGACTGACGGTATTACTTTTGACAACTTCCTGATTGTTGATTCAAAGCGCGCGGCTGATGAATTTGCTCAAGAAACATGGACAATTAAAAAGGAAGCTGAAAGATTAGCCGATCCGAAAGCAGTAAGTCCTTTTGGCTTTGAATATTGGAGTTTCGTTTTCTTTTGTGATATACGTAGCTAGATTTTAGGTAATCTAATCGAATATTTCATAGTATTATTAAGCTAAGGTAATACAACTCAGTTATTAAGTATCAGATCTTTTGCTCTTGTCTTTGAACTATACTTAAGTTCTATTTATGCTGTTTAACAATTTGAAGCTGCTTATTTGTTTTCCGTTTTCTGGTTATACCCCTGCGTCACAAGTGTGCTATCCCAGCTTGTTTATCAACTCAATATATGATAGTGTTCATTAGCCATCTTGTTTCCTGATTGTACTGCTGTGTTGCATTATTAGTAATAATTCAAATGTCTTTTGTCAGTTTGTAGAAATTTTATGCCATTGCTTGGGTTCTTTTTGTTTTTATCTATCGACCATTTGTTTTTTATTTACAGCAAAGTGTTGTGGATGCTATACGAGAAACCTATAATGAGAAACCTTGGCTTATCTTTGTAGTTGGCCTTGTTTGTACATTACCCATTCTTTTATGCTGTATCTACATGTGCCGGTCACCATCCAAACAACATGATATTGGTATGCGCAAGAAGACGGATACATCCACGCCAGACGACTCTCATGTACATGTTAGTGAAAGAAATGCAGAAACCGAAGAATTAGAAGAATCTGGCGAAGAAGATATTGTCCAAGTTTCTAAAGGCTCCGGTGATGAATCAACCGCAAATAAAACAGGGAGCAGCAGAGATAACTCCGGAGAGGAAACTCCTGATGAATCTGGAGAAACCGAGGTATGACATATTTAGTTAATCTTGGTTCTTAAATGGCCCCAGTATAGTGGTTACTTTAAAATTGGTTAGATGTTTATGTGGATTGGTTAATAGTCATTCAAGTCACTTTCATGTCTATTTTATTAAGTTTCTATTATCCATTTCAGAAAGCGGCTGCAAAACAGTCTATTAGAAAACGACGTTCACGAAAGGAATAAATTTACTCCCTTGGATTTCATTCCTGAAACACGTGTTCGTATAGCTTATTTAATCCTAAACCTTACAAGCATGTTTTCTTTGGATTGGTGAGATATAATCGTAATTATCATCTCTCCCGTTATGTTATTTGTTACTGTAGTTTTGTGTCTCTTATGGAGACGGTTTATGTCTGTTTATCTACTTACTGTATCATTCACTCTTCGATATATGTAGATGTTGAATTGGCATTACATTTTGTTTCCATTTTATAGTTTTGAAAATCTTGTTTCTTATTGTCATTTCGTTTCAACCCAGTGTTTTTTGCTTACGAATATGTTTTACTTCATTTTCATTTGAAGTCGACGTTTGTGTTTTACGATCAATAATTTTCATTTTGTGAATAAAATCATTCTCTGCATATTCTGTATTTTGATATGCCCAAGCAGGAAAAAAAGCTACCAACCCTTCAGATATATTAATGGTCATTAGTCTGTCTATGTGATTTAACAAACTCATTTCCAATTTTTATTAAAAGTACACCATTCGGTTATTTGATACTCGAATTAACATCATTTCACATTGAGATGCTCTAGTTCACGTATTCTAAGTAAAATGATCAAAAATCATACAAGCATTTTGACTCTATAATATTTAATTGGATTTCAGTATTTTCAATCTTAACCTAAGTGTTCAGAACACAAACTATTTTGTTGTAAAGTGTCGCGAATAGTATGAAGTGATTTTTTACTGGTATTTTTAGTGGGGAATATTCTGTTTTGTCTCATTATTCCTAAGACGAATAAAGTAAATAACATCTAGTTACGCTAGCATTTTTGATCCACTAACCTTTTATCCCTTTAAACATAGATTTTGTGAGCCATGCTGTTAAAACAATTCCATTTAGTAGTGGTCACAAGGTCGATTCTGTGGTTTAACGATGTGTATTGTGACTCAGAGTAGACCTTGTCAACTACTTATTCCTGTATATTGGTTTTATCGAAATTCGTCTTATATATACATTTGAGACAGTCTATTCGCTATGTTTTTGTTAGGTAGTTAAAAAGGGTGTTAATCGACTGGTAACACATCGTTTGAATAGCAAGATCAAAATGCAATAAAAGTGACTAGTTTGATCTTATTAGCTACTTTGGGCTCAACTAAAACTGTCAAAGGGCGTCGAATCGATTTCGAAACCCGATTCCTTTGTAAACCCGCTTTAGATGCTCTTGGTACCATCTCATTTCCTCTCAATCACATATTTTATCTTCCCTAGGATGGTATTTTCAGTAGTTTCTCTGTAACACCTGCCGACTAATTCGTTTCATAAATTTATTAGCCTCACCTGTTCAAAGAACCTGGTATTTTATTTGCTCCTGATCACGGTAATTTCACAACAGATATCTCAACCTTTATTTTTGTTTGCTGTAATTCCCTAGTAATTTTCTCACGAATCTTAATCGAATTATCATAACTGTTTTAGTGTCACCAGATCGGTTAAATTCTTGCGAGTTTGGGTAAACGACCCAATTTTGTCACGTGAAACAGTGTCGACAGTATTTTTTCTATAATATTGTATTTGACTGCATGTACTAAGGCCACTGCTTCTTCGGGTTTAAATTAACTATATTTTCAAAAATTGATCCTATTCAGGTGTTCATACGGACACCGTTATTATTCTCATCCACGGGATGTGTGTACACAGCACATTTTGGGAAATCAATTCATATCTAATACCTAGTTGGTCTATTTATTCTGAGCACTTAAACTACCCTTCACTTCGAATTTGGTTGAGTTCATCTCAATTGGGTACCAGTATATTTGATGAATTACTAAACTGAGTGATTGTCTAATGAGTTGATCATTGATTTTAACGATCAGGGCTTAAATAAGTTAACCAGTTTACGAAAAGCTTACTTTATTCCGTTACTTTAAAACCTGAAGGTAATTCATCGTATAAAACATGCGTCCTGAAATCAACAGACTGACACTAAGTCGCTCACCATAGAGTGGAAGGTTGAGTGAGTCTTCTTTTCAACCGGGTAAATGCAAAGAAGCACCGACGAGTTTTCAGAAACTATCTATTGCATTCTTAGTGTAAGTTGTAAAGAAGTATTTCATGTCCTTTATCATTTGTGGTGCACATCACCTGACTTGAGTCTTCAGCGAAATAATTGAGAATCAAGGACTGAGCCGTTTTTGTTTACGCGACGACGCCTCACCAGTACTTTACTTGTCAGCAAATATGTTATCTTTCACCCTTAAGCTTAACATAAATGGCTGGTATTTTTGCGTCCAATTAACTTAGTGATAAAGCTTGATTATATCAGAAGTAATTGATTTTTGAATAATCATGATACTATATTATAGGTTGATTGAAAATATCGATCCAAAATGAAAGTTAAGAAAAGTGGTACACTGAATGAACATGTTTTTTTATCTAATGATATCCAGGAAACACATCAGTAATCATTCTAAACAGATTCTGATTATCTGTGATTTAAAACTTAGGACATAAACGAAACTATAATATATTAAACTAAATGGATGGAGTAACTAGGTTAAGAATTGACTTCTCTTCTAGAACTGCAAACACTAAGTTTTTAAATTTAAGAATATGTAAGTTATTGCGACAGTTTTCGACAACTTATAAAAAAATTAGTGACTTGTGGATCTCATAAAAAGATAGATCAACTATTAGTAATGATCCTGAAAGAAGGTATAACTAGAATCCTATGTAGTTGTCACTTTGGTGTTTCATAAATCCCAAGTCATTGAGAAGTGTGTTGCAACTTTTGAATAAAATTAAGAACATTACACGGACTTAGTTGTTTCGTGTCTGTTACGTCCAAATGGGCTTTCTGTCTAAATAAGTCAGCAGATAGGATTGGTGTACTTATTCGTGTTGTTTGGGTGATACTTCCGATTCTAGATTCTCTGGGTACTTGCAAACCACTGCCTTGTCGATCCCAACAGAAGGGTGAACATTCTTTTTCGTATCGGAATGCTGTTTCTTTTCTTTCGGGTGCTGAATGGAGAATGGTATTTTGACTTTTTTTAAGGTCTGACTGTATCCTGCATGGAAACATAAATTTCATATTTTGAGAATCGGATAATCCAGCATGCGCGTCATTTATTATTCTCGGTAGATTCTTTCGGTTACAAGTGTGACTTTGAATGCCATTATTAATATTTATTCCGGAATTTTCAATTAGGTCGTCCGATGAGTGGTTAGATGATTTACTAGATTGGTCTGTTAACTCATCTTTGAAGTCATTCCTCGATGAAAACACGTTCTTCATTGCTATGTTTAGTGCCAATATATGCTTGTGTAACTCAATACTGTCATTCAAATAAATAATGCAAAAAAGGTCATTAAAATACTCATTTTTCATCATTATAAATAAACTAAGCCTAATGAAGTCCAACCTTAAATTTCACTCAAAATGATTGTCTTATTGCTATTACCTAATTATGCGGATAAACTGTTGACTTAAAATTCAACTCACTATTTCTTTTCTCATACAAATGAATGTTCTCTTGACATTTCTCATGTCAGAACAACAACTTTTGGTGGCATTAATTCAGTGTAGCAGTACGGTGCCTTGATACTTTGCATGAAACCAAATATACTGAGAATAGTTGACATTGCGCCTAATTTTTTTCATGATTAAGAAATTAACAATAGTTAATTTTTCCTACTAACCAAATTTAAATATGTAAGAAATGTAATAAAGTGAATGATGTGACAAAAAATATGGGTTTCACAGTTATCCGTAAATTCGTACATAACAAAAATGTGGAGACTCAATTTTCGAAGTCGGTAAGTAGTTGCTTTCCACGTCTTCAAAGTTCTGACCAACATTCTTGTTTATCCCAGTGAAATAAAGGTTACTTAGAAATACGAATGATGTTTACTGAATAACTTTTACTTTTCATTCAAAGTTAGTCAAAATAAGTTCTGCTCATGTGGGCAAGCGCCTCCATAATCCTATACCTTAGTGTGGCATGCTACCGTTTTGGTACACACGTCTCGGATAATTGTAGATTGGACCCAATTATCTGCACACCATCAAAATATTTTTCTTTCCTTTATTTATCAGCTGTGAATTTTTCTGTTCATATCACAGTATAATGAAACGAATAGATTTCGCACAATTTCACAAAAAGTTTAAAGTTTGCTATGCCTTAGGAATATAAATAAATCTGAGTGAAACCATAAATTCCTCACCTGTTACTTATTTGTGAATGAGCAGACTGTACTGCACTCAGAGTTCCTGTGATTACCACTCGGCGGATATTAATACCTTCTTCACCACTAGAAATTTTGATTCTGGCCTGCGAAGCCTACAGAATATAATTAACAAAAGGGATGGATTTTGAATTTAGAGGTGTAGTGGGATCATGAAAACGTTGATACCAGAATCGTTTACAACTGGCTCCTTAGTTTTTACATTAATCTATTTTAGGTTTTAAAAATAAATGTTCTGGCTGTTTTAGTTTGACTTAACAGAGTGTAAGCTACTGTTTTAAAAGTTGCTCTATACGTCACATCTACTAAATGTCCAGCTGATGTAGATCAGAATGGCTTATCATTCGATTGCATGCTATCAAGTGTCTATATTTTTTCTGTTAATTAATATAACCTTATTTATCAAAGTCCCGTAGATTATATACACATAATCCGAGTATGTTGTTTTTAGTAGCCTGGTGTCAGTAAATTTAGACTCTATATTAACAATACCGTTGGGGTATCATGAATTTAGCTTTTTGGATAAAATAATATTTAGCTTATAAATAAACGGATTCTTTCGTTTATGTCTCCATAAAACGACTAGTATCTTTTATTACTGTGCTCACTACATCAAAAACCCATTTGCAATACAGATCAGCATACCTATAATAAAACAATACTACTAAATAGTACGCAGCACATGATAATTATGAGTATGGAGTTGCGCTCAATAGTGAGTAGCTTCATGAGGTTATTCTTGGAGTTCTAGTGAGAAGCCGTGACCAGTAGAGCTAACACGTAGCAGGTGGAGATAGATATCTACCTCAGACAACGGAAGATGGTCGCACATTTTCGTGGATTTGTTGAAGTTAGACATTAACACCGTTGGATGCCAGCCCAGTGATCTAGTGGTTAAGAGTTTGCGAGCGTGATTGAAGGTCATAATTTCGAATCCCGCATGACGGATTGTGGATGCGCACTTTTCAGGAGTCCCATACTAGGATTAAACGGTCGTTCAGTGATATCAAGTAAGAACTTAAAATTTTCCACAACCCCTCACTGATAATTGTTAAACAGACTATATAACTACTTTGGAGTACATACTCACTTTGAATACGACCAATAAAATATTTTAGAGCATAGTTGGGCAGTGGTGAGCAATGAATTCCAGGATGCGTGTTTCTTCCTATTTGACTTAACATTATCAAGACAATTGTCTCAGGATACACATATGCCAAAAATGACCGATAACTTTCAGTCCTTAAGATCAAAAACGGAAGATTCAAAATCTTACAACTAAAAACAATGGAGTACTTTATTTTCTACAGTTGATGAGTCTACTATGTAATATGCATTCTCCATTTAACTTTTTATCATTTTGTAGTACCTGTTGTATGATTACTAAATCCGTTCAATAATTCTGTTCGTCTATATGTACCCAGCCTCGGGTTAACATACTGTTATAATCGCTTTCTTACGGTTATGACCCAGCTATTCCTATTGCCTAGTATTCTCGGACACCGATTCACTCGACAAGTCCCCAAATCAAAACACGGTTGAACAGGAATGAGATTATATTCCAAATAACAATGTTAGATGGAAGTAAGAAGCACAATAGGGAAAACGTCAGTATATTTATAGTTTTTACATGAGAAGATTCTAGAGTATTCTCCAACTATCGACTAGTGCTGATTGGCTAATTCTTATCCAATCAGCGTACAGCAAAGCAATTGAGCATGCTTTAATCCAGTCTATGTTCCGCTAACACATACAAAGCTTATTTATCTTACAGGTGTCTAAGGCGATAACTTGATAAAAAAGTGCAATTCCGTGAAACCTACTATATAAGTTATGAATCTATAAAAATGACACAGTTGCACGTGATGATACTGCGGTATTCATGTGTTCATAAAGATGTACCAATGATCTTGACATGGTTCACGAAAAACGTCATTTGTGTGCATAAGTAGGCTAAGAACCAGATTTTTAAATGTTAAACTTAATGTTTGAGCTCTGATGAAATTTACTTCCATTTAAATAACCCTGTAGTATTTGTAGCCATGACTCAGCAAGTGCTAAATAAACGCTTAGTTTTGATTGATATAATGAATGGATAAATATTAGATCACCATTGAAAGCCTTGAAGCATTGGACGACCGTTTGGTCCAAGTATGTTCATTATCGAAAGTTTTGTGTTGAATGTTTTTGAACTTGACTAGGAATAATTGTAGACAAAATTGAATAGTGATATTATTTCTGTTTATTTAACTACATATAATATTGTATACTGGCCACAAATTTAAAATTACTTCTATGCTATTTACCAGTATTATTTGTTATTTCAGTGCCGTAACAAATAGTTTAGCGAAATTAGATAATAATTAGACACCAAACTAAATATTTACAAAATAATAATTAATTAGGCTTAAATAAATTCAAGTCATCTTATTGATGTCTGTGTATATTGATTTTAGCACAAAACTACGGGGAAAAAATAATTTAGCGAAACAGCCCATTCGACCCACATGTGGTTACCTTCATCAATTTAACACAGAAGAATAACCAAACTATTCATGAAGGTAGTGTTTTTATACTGTCCTAAGTAAATTAATTGTAGAATACTTTCTAATCGAATAAACATACATAAAAGGGTATTTGAAAATAAAAACGTTCCCTAGACACTTTTTTCCCTTTTCAAGACTTATTGATGGCAAGTATGTGAGACATTAGAATATTTCATACTACCTCAGATATTCAGACAATTAGTTTAAAGATAAAGACGCAAGTTGAATTTCTCAAACCATTGGATCATATCTCATATTATAAGGGTTTAGATTTTGTATATGATTAACAATCAACGTTTACTGATGCAATTTATTAATTTTGATCGCCTTCTACATTACCAAGTAGTGACACCAAGATAAGCGTTAGCTGATCAAAAAGGAAGGAGGATTTATTTTTAACTCGACTAGCTTAGACGTGAACTAGTTTGAGCTCAACGATGTGAGATATACAGAACATACTTGATATTGTACATCTACTTATCGTTTCTCGAAATGATAAAATAAGTAACTGATTGATCGAGAAAAAAATTGAAGGTTTTACTTAACTTTTGTAAAATATGTGTGAAATAACTAGTCAGTTGCCTTATAGTATTACATTTCTCAGAAGTACTTACCAAACATGGTGTGCAAAGGTCAAGCTCAATGTTTCATTTCGACCACGTAATCATTTTCTCTAGGGGGAAACGTAGATAATTTAAACCATTTAGCTAGCTTTTAATTTCTGATATTCAGTTCAGTTTGGTTTAAACAGATTATTCAAGTTCTAAGCATTCATTTCGCACACCTATGTACCAATTTACGTTTGTTTTCTTAGCAACCTAACTTGGCATACCACACAATATGTGGATGGAGTTGATTTCAATTGTTAATCAATACCTTGTTAGTATTCTTACTTATTCATTTTACGTGGATTTATCATCCTTAAATACTAGGTTTTTGAGTTAGGAATATGCCAGTGGAATTCTGTTTATTTTGCATTCAACCTGGTAAGAGTATTACCTACTAGTGATAAAAAAATTAGATTTCTTAACAAGTAATACGTTTATAAATCTTTCCCGTTTTATTTACGACGACTATTCAAAGTAATAATTAGAAAATCACTATACAATGGATTTTTGAATAAATAAAGTGCTCTGTGAGATCGATGCCTACAGTAATTTTTTTAAAAATTTAGTACAGTCGCTTGGACAGAGATTAAAATAAAAGATTTGAACTTTGGAGTACACTTGATTAGGGCATAAAAGGAAGTTACCAGCTAGTCAAAAAAGTTATTTGTTCCATATAAACGTTGAGGTTTATGTCTATTTAATAATAGGACTACTTACCTGCCGAATTTCGTTGATTTTATTACCTCCCCTTCCAATCACGCATCCTATAAGGTCGTTGGAAATTAAAATTTCACAACGGTATTGCGCTCCACCAGGCCCGTTGGCAATTGGTGCCTTTAAAATCGCTGAGTTTCGTAATAACTTAGGTGTGCGGAATAATGGAGTATGCATGCCACTTTGAAGGGTAAGAGAAGGAGGTTGTAATTTGCATGGCGATTGAACGGCAGACATCGGTCGTGGTACTGTAAATATAAAAAGTGAAGAGTAAGCAAACCAAAAATTGATAAGTAAACCATTATCGGTACATAAACTATCAACTAATGAGAATAGGAATATTTTCAGTATTACAAATGGATCTTTTTAAGCTCAGAGAGTCAATCATTCAACTTAAACGCTTCCTATTCAAAATTTGAAGCGTCAGTTACAAAACCAACCGGCCCGGAGATTACACAGACAATGAATAATATTCAAAAACATACTAAGAGTTGTAGTTCCAGCACTTTTCTCTGAGATAACACAAGTAGGTTAAGTAAGTAGTTAGTATAAACCAAATGAAAGCTTAGTAGACACTCATTTCTACGGACCAAGTTGTGTTGTGATAATTATTGCAGCAGATTATGTTTGATGTTATGTGGTTGAGAGAAAGCTAACGGAAACCCTTGATCCGATGACAGTTGGCACTCATCATCATAGAGGTTTTTAGTAACTTATGACTTTGTGTTCCTTAGTATTATTTCCAGGTACGTTATTGCCGAGGTATTCGGTCAGTAATCGAACTCTTGTAAGACTAAGATGTCATGCGGTTTAGTGTACAAGTTACAGCTTAACAATTCACTTCCTGAACACCATAGTAGTATTGTTTCTGACTGAAGCGGGTTCGCTCCTTACTGGAAGAACTATTGGAGACAGGCCTTGTTCACGAATATCAGAAGACAAGATACATAAATTTGGGGCTTCCTATAGATTGCCTCATTTACTTTAAAATCAAAGCAGTTAGTATGCTTGCAACCCGATAGTTCTATAAGTAGAAAGCGAATTAGTGTCATTGACAGTTAGAGATCCGCCAAGACCTGTATTTTGTCCGAAATTCCTCGATTGACATGGCAAAACAAGATAATCATTTCTTTCCTGATGGAAAAAGAACTTTTAACCACTTGAAATTTTATGATATTTTCATTTCGTAACGAAAATTAATCATTAATAAACTGGTTCACAAACACATGTCGGTCTAGATATAAGTGAGATATTCATTGATTACATCGTACTGTTTTCACTATAAGGTGACACATCCCATCTGTATAATGGCTTATTTATTAAAAATCTTCACTTAGGAAAGCACCAATATACAGGACATCTTGCAGATATTAACTAATATTATCCGGTACTGATTTGAATTGAGTAAGTTATGTAAGCAAGCGGATACAAAGTACCCAGCAAGTTACTGAATGCTGCACTGCTCTTGTATTCAGAAGTTAAAAGTGAATGACCGAAATCTAAGTACATATGAATTCCCGAGAAATTCATTCTCTTTTAATGCAAATCCGTTATTACAGACAGTGATGTAACCGTCAAATATTTCATACGGTATGGGTGATCATAAAAATCAATAAAGTCCCTTTTATTTGAAGTTTTTTGGTCTATGTAACTCTATCAGATGTTCAGCCAATTCCTTGACACAATCCACCACAACTTCTGGTCACTGAAGATAAAGTGATTATAAGTTGGATATTTCTTGATGTTGACTGAACCTCATTGATCTTGTTTTTAATATGTTTGAAAATTGAAGAGAAAAGAACATAATATTTTATTACTTCACATAACATAAATCACTCGAACAAGTACTCATATAAGGAAAATGCATGAACTTTGTTTAGTACATCTCTAAATGGTCACGAAATCTTAAAACACCGAGGAGGTTTACTTACTCTACCTACAGTTGAACTTCTTGTATAAAAGGTACTAATACTACCTACGTATACAAAAGAGAATAGGTTCGAATCCATTTCCTTATCGTTTAAAGTCAAATACTTTAATCACCAAGACATCATTCAATAGAATTATATATTTTCAAAATGATTGTCTAAATTAAGAAAATATATAATAATTTCACTAGTTTATCATGAATATTGTGTTATAATGAAATGGATCATTTTTCATTCAGTCAAATTCAAGTGAAATTATTATTATGTTTATTTTTAAGTAAACTTGGAATTCAAAACTAATAAATGAACCAACTAGCCATGAATGAAAAGAGTGGGGGGGAGAGAGACTGAAAAAAACAATAATCCATTTTTTTAAATAAAAAACAACACCAACATGTACTTAAATTTCATCTAACCAAATTAATTTAAACACAATCATATAGATTTATTATAATCAATAATAAATAACCAATTAATTTTTAAAAAAAATTCTTTCACTTACATTTTAAGATGTGATAAATAATTCCGAACTAATTTTAGAAACTGAAATGACTAAAACTAATTAAATACTCATAGTATCGAATTTAAAGAAATTTCAAGTGATTAGTGTTCAAAAGGTTTCATAAATAAAATGACCTATTGGCCTCTAAATTATAATTGCCTTGTTGATTATCCTATGGTTAGGTTGTTTTTTTTTTGGTTTTTGATAACATTCATCGATTAGTTCACTTGATATTGTTTTACTTGAATCTTCCCATTGATGTTTTAGGACTGAAATTGGTATATGTGCATACTGTACGTATGCCTCCATATTGCCTTAATTTACAAGCATTATAAGTAAAGATGGATAGTGGCTAGTAGTGGAATCCAGGACAATATCAAGTGAATTAAACTTCACCCCATTGCATAAGCAAGTGACTATCAGGACTCAGTAGCTAAGTGGATAACGCGTTGGCGTTTGAAGCGAACGGTACTGCGTTCGAGTTCGAGAGTAAACATCAACTCTGAGATGCAGGTACATCCAGTTAACGAGTCCCAAACAGTACGAAACGCGCGTCCTGGATTACACTGCTAGCCACTATCCATCTTTGCTTATAATTCATCAATTAGTTTTTAAATTTTTATCAGTATATGCCTAGTTTGATGATTAGTTTCATGAAAGAAAAGGTTGTTGTTTTTTTCTCAGTTTAGAAAGTTCGTCTTAAAAGAAATTAACAAAAACAATATTTTCTAAAGAAAAAAACAAACAAAAATGTAATTTTGATTTAAACAGTCGAGATCATGAGTTAATTGAAGCTAGACCACCATGGAAAATTTGGAAGCACTAGGACGACAATCTCCACAAAACCCCTTCAGATACTAATTTTGATTGATGAAATAAAAATTGTTTTCGACTTAGATACTTTGTATGTTATTAGTGGAGTAAATCTAAATATCCTATCACAACTTTAGTTTTCGAAAGATTTCAATATATTGTTCTTGATATGGATTCATATTCTATTTGATTAATAAATCGAATGAAAGTAGCTCGAATAAAATATCATTTTGTAGAACAAATAATAGCTGTTATACTTAAAATGAGTCATGAGTAGTATTGGGTTTTACCGAAGTAATGAAATTTTAAGTCAAATAATGGTTTAAGAAACGGGTTTACAATTAAAATAATCTATAGTAGAATTAAATAACTTGATGTAATGAAACTCTCAGTTTTAAGTTGATTTTAATTCAAATTCCATAGAATTATGTAGTTTTCTGAGTCGGTGAAATCATATATCTTTATGATGAATAGTTATCATACTTAAACTACTATTAAGCTAATTAAAACTAATCTCTCTTCTTTAACAAGTTTCTGTGTGACTCCAGGCAATAGATCTAAAAAATAATTATTGGTAACATCTAAAAGGGAACTGATGATAAGGTCGTGTGATTTTTTATGTAAAGGAAATATAATCTAGTTCGTAAAATGATTCAAGCGGAATGGAACCAAAAATTTCAGTGAGTACACATATAGTATCATCTTTTTTGTTTCACATTCATGAATTTCTTCATAATACATTCTTTCAAATAGCTAGCAGTGGAATTCTTCCTATCCTATTCGGGGCTCGTTAGCTGGATGTACATGCATCTGAGTTAATATTCACCCTGGGACTCGAACCCAGTATTGTTCGCTTCAAATGTTATCGCGTTATACACTTAGCTTCTGAGATATATACACAAGAACCTTAATGAAACAAATCTATTTTTTTCAATATGCGAAAAATTCATTTGATTTTTATAGATTCGCAGAAAATATAAATCAATAGTTAACATATAAACAATCACAACAATATGAATCTGTAATGACTTGACAATTACTAATACTGTTACTCGTATGGCCGTTTATCAAGGATGCTGAACAAACTGTTATTTGCTACTTGTTCAACGGAACAAGACTGTTATAGCTCGAAGGACTTATTTATGGACCAACCGCACATTCTCAATCGATCTAAATAACATCAACATTTACAGGGAAGCATGTCATTTTGAAAATCTGGTCAATAATAATTAAATGTGAATGTATCAAAAATTTATTTTATTTATACAATTTCTAAAATCAATAAGTTAGACTGCTCCAATTAACAGTTATAACTAAATGACTGAAATATAGATTTACTATTTTGTAACAAAACCCTACTTAATTGAGTGAATCCCAGGAAGGTTTAACGAAACACTTTTAGATATGAGATTAAAAATTCACGAATGAGCCATAACGGATGCCAAGAATGTAAGATGACATTTATTTTATTTTACAAATTAAACGCAAACGTAAAATATAGGGTACCGAACTAGTAAGTTGGTGACAATTTAGTGTGAAGTTATTCATCCTGTTTACGATATTTAACAAAAGTACAATTTCTGATATTTCCGAACAGTTTCTCATTCATTTAGTGGGTGAGTACAAAACTGGATAGTGTAATTTTCACTGAAGATTTCATCCTAAACATTTAAAATCATTCACATATGTCTATTAGGAATATTTCAGTATACTTCACTCCAACGTCTCGAGTTAAAAATATAAATAAGGTTAAAGCTGTAAATGAAATCTCCGGTATAGATTATAATATAATGCATAGCACTCGCCCACCAAATGAACGAAAAAATGCCTAAGAATGATTAATATCGCACACATACTAAACACTGAAATATGGTTAAGAAATGTACTCAGGACGTCATTAGTTACAAAAGTGTGATTCAAGGTACACAGTTACAAATTGGATGTTCATGCCTTTAACAAATACATAAATTTTGTGTATGCGATTTTTATCCTTGTGCTTGTTCAGACACAAGTGTTCGCGACTCAGAAATTTGTCTACAGAGTAAGTTAAAAACTGATCGATAAACATGTTGGGCCTAATAGTGTGTGAGCAACAATCAATATTTTCGAAACAGAAACATTAGGATGAGTCATCATTCTGAAAATCCAGAGAGCAATTTCTTAACTTGGGGATTACAATTAACAAGTTAAACTGAATTTTCGAGATATTTGAGGAAGCAACAAAGAAATTATTCATATTGCATTGACTGTCTGAATCTTCTGATTGACGTTCAGGATTGCGATTGATCGAAAGTGCATCCCGTGTAGATTGCCTCGATACTGTCTTAAGTTGGGTTACGGAATGAACATCAACTCTGGGATGCAGATGTTTCCAGCTAATGACTCCCAAATAGAACGAAACACACATCCTGGATTCCACTGATAGCCACCAGTCATCTCTGCTTAGGAAGAAACTATTATCTAATCACAGTGCACTCACAGGATGGTCGTAAGATGTTTCAGACTTCTATATTTATCAATTCTGTAAAATCAGCCTCCTAACGGAGTGAAGAATTTTGAATCGTTCATTAATAGCGGCTTTTAATATTGTCATTCATAATAACGTGATAATCACCAATAAAAATCTATTAAATCAGAAATTTCAAAAAAAATATTCTAATATTCTGTTTCTGAATATTAGAAAGGCTAAGAGAGCTAGTGGTGGTGGGGATTTGTTTTGTAAGTGAAGCAAATATTTTATTAAATCTATATTCAACCATTTCAACACTGGCCCATAATATTGAACATTATGAGTAGTAGTTAAACTGTACGCATGACAATAACTTTATTTAGCTAGCCTAGGTTAAGTAACTTAATCCATAGAGAAATTGTTCACAAAGAATATTAATCCAGAATATTAATCAACATATTCCTCAGTTCAGCAGTTTCTATTGCTATAAAGTTATAATGTTAATCTGATTAATTTCAGCAATTATTCAGACAACAACTTGATTTTAATTTCTGAAAAAGTAACACGTCTCAAAGATACTCACAATCTAGCTTAAACATGTTAAAACTACGATAATTGTCGTTGCTAGGACTGGGTTAAGTTTAGGCCGTATCATGGTTGAATATAAACATACATTTCATTGATTTTATGCTAAGCGACATGAAAGTTATTATTATTATTATTATTGTCAATTATTAATGGCTTTATTCAGTGTTATGTTGTTGGTACAATATAGAATGTTCAGTACAAAGTTTTTTAACAAGTTTCTTTTACAAAAAAGGTATGAAAAACCGAAACTTGCATATCTATATACACAAACTAAGTAGATAAAATATTTGAAATTAAATGGAATGTTTTGTTAAGATTTTAATATATACAATGTTTTAATTAGAAACATGTTTAAGACTACAATTTATTGACTAGGTCAGCTCTAATAATCTGTTTGTCACCAAGTAAATTGCTAGATAAGGTACTGTAGAGCTTTTATATATTTGCTTGAGTGCATAGATTCTAATGTCTTGACGTGTTTTCCTACCATAAAATACACAAGGAAAAATATCTAAATGAAGTGGATGGTTAGTATCTGATAAAATAACACCTGTCAGAAGTTTGCAAGATTTTAGATGTACACCCACATCCATACTAAGAATGACTCTAAAAGACTCACCACACACCCTGCTGACTGCCTATAGTATTCTCTATAATACGGCAAAACCCAGGGAAAAAATAATAGAGAGCAGTAAAGAGTAATAGGTAATATGCAGGGATCAAAAATTGTAAGAGAAATGTCGAGTAATTCAAAAGGTTGCATCCTCTTTATGTAGTAGGTTAGATGGAAAACTTTCTTCGATAACAATAAAACATGAGAAGACCAAGAGAGATCACATGAAAAAACGTACACCAAAAACAAATGACCTTTGACCCTGTGTTTATTAAAAAATCTCCAGTATTACAAGCCTAACAGGACTCCAACTAGGTGTATATTTGCTGTCCACGTCTCAGACTAAAGTTAACAGTTTGAAATTTGGATAGATTAAGTGTAAGACCATCGTTCAAAAGAGACAAAAACTTATTCATTTCAAGGAAATATGATGAGGTAGAAATCGGCATACATATAATGAGATCGTCCGCATACTTAATAGAAGTGTTTTCATTGGAAGTTGGCATATCGTGCAGAAAAAAGAGAAGAGGGGGAAAGAACAACACTTTATGACACACCATGAATCAGTAGAGATGTTGAATATTTTTTTCTCCTAACACAGTG